TGTCTATTTAATTTATGGATGGGTTTATAAGATAGAGAAGAGAACATTAATGAAACCCAATTTGATTTTCCATGCCAGCTTAGCCAGCCCACATGGATTATTGTACGTTGTATGCATTATTCCTCTATAATAAATAATTAAAAGAGGAGATTAAAATTAGACTCGTTGTCTAATCTTTTTAATTACCATGCATCTGAAATCTGGTAACTGAAAATCTAAATTTCTGTCACTTTTGTGAAGATGAGTAATTAATTTTTGGAAACTGAGACCTGATGACGGTTGAGAATATGTACACTAATTGATTATTATTATTATTATTAATCACAAAGCCACTTGAAATAATGGACAGATACAAGTTGAATTCAGCGCCCGTCTCGAAATATGAAAAAAATAAAATTGGTCTGGTCTAAAATTTACATTTTGGGTCATGTTTTATTTGTTTAAAATACTTATGCTTTAAAACTAATACTAAATTTAAAAATATGGAGTCCTAAAATTTTAGACACTCTGTGCGGTTAGCGACTTTGCACACCCTCCGGACCACCCATGGTTGAATTAGCTACAACTTTGAAAAAATAAGTACTCGTACCAAACTAACCAATTAATAATAACTAGTATATCTACTTTTATTTAACAATAGCCTTTAGCTTCAGTATTTTCATAATTAATCCCCATCATTAAAATTTGATTCAAAATGCTAACATTAATCGAAAATGTTGTTCTCAAACAAGGTCATACTATAATACGGTTAGGAAAACTAGAACCAATAACAACTATAAATAGTACTCCGTCTCTGAATATTTGTCCAGCTTTAATTCTTTTCAGTTAACAGTTTTAAACTTTTGACCCATAATGAAATAAAATATATACTCCGTATTATCTATTAATTAGATAAAATAATATTTTGGAAATATTTCATATAATAAAATTATTTTTATATCAATATCTTATATTATTTTTATTTAATTTGAAGTCAAAGTTTATTAATTTTGACTGAAAAAATCAAAAATAGACAAATATTCAAGAACGGAAGTAGTACGTTTATATTATTAATGCCCCACCGGAAGATTGGTGTTCCGTCGTCAGAGACACCAAGTTTGAAACGTAGTTAGAGATGGCCAAGGCATGGTAAGCACATTACAAATCCGATTACCCGAAGCATTCGAAGATGTAGGACTTAAATTTTTTTATTCCCTAAATAGGACTATATAATGACCTAGTGGAAGAAATAATGTCCAGCAATGATGGAGATTTAGTTGAATAATGACTACTTGATAATGACCAAAGGTCCTACATTGGAAAATAAAAACATATGGTCCTATATTGGGTAAGTCATTATGTTTTAGTCCTATTTAGGTAAATTTCTCTCCGAAGATATCTAGCAGCAAGTCAGCAACAGGTTCACAAACAAAGAAATAGTCCAGAGCGAGATGCTTCATACAAGAGTGAAACATTTGAATTTTTACAAACATATACTCCCTCCGTCCCACTATATTTGTCCACTTTCATTTTTGCACATCATCCAATGTCCTTCTTTAATCCATTTTATCTTGTAATTTATATATTAAAAAATTATAGAAATTATATATTAATAATCTATATGTTAAGACAAATCAAACAAGATCACACATGACTATATTTAGGCTTACACATTCAGAGAATTTGATGAGTCAAAGTGCTTAGATGAACAGTTCCAAAAGTCAAAAGTGGACAAATATAGCGGGACGGAGGTAGTATGTAACAATCATATTGTCACAGTACAAACTAGGCAGTGAAGGCCCCCAAACACTAAGATCAGGAAGGAGATAGATTATTAGTGTTTTGAAGCGATATGACTTTGTTTAGTTCATCGCCAATTACTCTTTGTTTTTGCAACGCGTAGAATGCATGCAGGATTGCTTGTGCTTGTGTAGGTGAAAGATTTGGTAATAATTCAATGTCTGTTGGTGGTGAAATGTATATAAGGTTTATTATATATACTCGTATCGTATCGTATAGGGAAGAATTGAAATCAGATGATGATGACCGATCTTCGGACGGTGTCGTTTATGAACACCCATACGGCCGCATTGCGTCCAGTGCGGTGTCTATTCGCGGCAGCCCCGCCTGCAGAAAAGCTCGAAATTTCATGCTTTTTGGCATTAAAAATCGAGGTCATGCTACACTTACACCAAAAATTGTACCTCATTTATACACCGCAGTTATACACAAACATTTTGATGGTTTACACCGACACAAGTGTTGGTGCGTTAACAAAAATTTACACGGACACAAAGTGTTGATGCGTTAACAAAAATTAGTTTTACACCAACACAAAATGTCGGTGCAAACTTGCAGTGCACAAAATGGGGTACAAAAGTTTGGGGTAGAAATAGCTTTATCCTAAAATCGAGTCTTGCCATTCTTGGAGCGGAATTTAAGTTTGATTCTTGGCGAACAGATTTAGTGGTAAAAATACCTTTGAGTCCCTTCACTCTTAATTTTTCAAGGTGAATTTCCGAACTAAAACATAATGACTTTGATTTTTTAATATAGGATCATTGGTCATTATTCATTAGTCATTATTCAAGTAAATGTCCACCATCGCTGGACATTATTCCTCTCACTAGACATTTTTAAGTCTTATTTAGGAAATTAAAAAAGTTTAAGTTCTACATTTCGAAATGACTTATGTTTTAGTCCTATTTAGTACAAAATTTTCTTTTTTAAAAATTGAACGCATTTATCATTGAATTCTAAAAATTACATTAATGCCACCTCAACTTTAAAAAATATTGTACTAATGGTTCATCTATGTCAGATTTAGGAGTGTATTAATCAACCGTTCATCAATATATATGTTGGAGCTTGATGAAGATGTTATGGACTGGTAGTGTTTGATCGATTAATGACACAATTTTATCGACTGATGCCAAATCTTTGAAGTTGGTCATTCCTGACTAAATTGAGAATAATTATCTAAGATTTAAAATATAGAAGATAATGTTTGAAAAGCGCATATTACACAATTCACATGTGATTTATGACTTTAAATGAATCCATATTTGTATTAGATGAGCATGTGATTAACGCACTTTAAAATATGCCACAGAAAAGCCATTAGTGGAACATTTTTTAATTGCTTAAAGGCATTGTTACAATTCAGAGAGAACTCGTATAATTTTTAAAAAGTACAGATATAATTAGCTCGACAAACTTATCTCTTTTTAGTTTACTGAGAATCGACCCAGGGCTTTGTTGGATTGTGCTCTGTTCTAAGGAATTTAGGCCCAAAAATGATGGGCTCTTTTTATATTTTAAAAACTTACTAATTGTCCATCATACCCAATAGCCTCACGAATAAGAAAAACGAAAACGAGAAACGTATTTGGCATTATTAGTCCATGGTCCAAAGTCGCCAAACTCTCCAATTTGTGTTATTGCCAAATACTCCGTACTTAAATGGTGGAATTTTTAAAATTTAAAGTTAGGGTTTTTTTGGAAAGATGTAATTATGTTGCAAGTTCGAAAAGACAAAAATTTAGCCGACCTATTTTTAACCAGACTCGAAAAGACAAAAGGTTTTGTTGATCGAATCTGAAGATGACCGAGCCGAAAATGACTCGCTGAAAATGCGTCAAACCCAACCGATTTCGATCTGACCGAGCCGCTACTATAACAGTTTTTCAAAATCATGTACTATATTATGAAAAATAGTGCTTTACATCACAACATAAAATTTAATGCTATATTTGTTTCAAGCAATCTGAAATGGAAAAGTAATAAAATGGGATGAAAAACCGTTTTTCTTGCTTGGTCAGAGAGAAGAAGAAATTAAGAAGATAAAATATACTCCCTCCGTCCCATTTTATAATGCATGTTTCGATTTACGATGTATGACTGAAATTATTTTCAAATCATTTTATATGACAAATGGTATATAGTTAAAAAATAAAAATTACATATTAAAATACTACATCAAAAGATCTACAAAACTAGTAGTGACAATAGTATTTTATTTTATCAAATTGCTAACGAAAATAGAGAAAGAAAGTGAAGGAAGTTTGACTATGTGAATAGTGAACATTCATTATAATTTGGGACGGAGGGAGTATTAGAAAGAGAAAAAATCAAATTCCTTTCATTTTGTTAAGAAATCAAGAGAAAACCATATTTTTTTCTTTTTCTTTTAAATTCTACCTACCAAATATAGTGTAATGAAATTACAAATTCACAAATACTTCTTTATAAAATACGCTTTATACTGCAATTAACGGGTACATTGTTTTCATTGCAAATTACTTTTGACATAGAATGAGTGCATAAAAAGTGATTGACGGCCCCTGGACTGATCCATGTGGGTGTGTTAATGGTCATGAGATACGGGAGTGCGTTAGTCATATTCTCGCCTAATGCTATATATCACACGTGAGTTCTGCAGTATCACCTTCTCAAACATTATCTTCTATATTTTTAACATTTTTGAAACCTTAGATTATTTTTCTCGCTTTAACCGTCGTTAGCCAAACTCTAAATTCGAACAACAATCGATCAAGCTCTTCATGAATCCATAGCATTTTAATCGAACTCTATCACGATAATGGTGGGATTAACACACTCCCAAATATAGCGCACATACCATTGATACAACGTTTTTAAGTATTTTGAAAGCATTAGTACAATTTTTAAAGTTCAAAAGAAATTTGCATTTTGAAGAGTTTGGTGATAAATGGTGCAAAAAAGACTATTTCAAATTTCATGTTATTCTTATTTTAATTTTTTTTACATTAAAAAAAAACTTATGATTACAACTTGTTATTCGAACTTAATTAATTTTGTACAAACAATATGTAAACACATCACTTTGCCTACAAGCACAACTTTGAGACTAGTAATACGTAAATTCCTTCCATCCAACAATTCATCATCAATTCACCCCTACTCATAACAATTTCTTTTATACAAACTAAACAAACAAACACAAGAAATGCATAAACTGTCTAAGGGCAGCACACAAGACCAGAAATAACCACAACAACAACAACAAAAAATGTTACAAAAGAGAAGAAACAAAAGGTGAGAAACATGAAACATATTAATAAGCTAAGTATGGTGATTAGGGAGCTGTGGCTTGTGCTTGCACTGGTAACATTTCGCGAATAGGCCGAATGTGTCGACTTGCTTGATGAAGTTAGTCATGCTGGCCCACCCTCCGAACCCGAACCCGACCACCAACACCCACACGACCACGAATGTGTTCATCGCGTACACCGCCGTCCAGCTCGGAAGAAAGAACGGCGGTTTCTCTGCTGCATTCTGAAAAAAAACATGGAGATTCATTCATGAGACGAGGAAGAACAATCGAGACTCATTTTGGTCCTTCGAAGCGCGTCCGCGAATCAATTTGGTTTATAACGAAATGTATCTTCAGCGTACAACAAAAACACTGAGTTGACACGTTAACCGACACAAGTGACTAAGAGGAACTACAAATAGCTCAAACTAATCCACAAACTCATCAATAATATCGTTGGGGGTGTAATTTATTTATTTAAGTGAACAAAAAATAAGTGGACAAAAATATCGTTACACCTGTTAACAATAAAAATAAATAAATAAAAAAACAGATTGGCAAAGAAGCTTTAGGGACAATGATGATGTACCATCCCCAATTATATTGGTTCGTTCATGATAAGTGACCGCAGGCTAAACCCCAAGTGCTACATTCCAATTCCCTCTACGCGTTGTCACAGGAGATAAAACCCACCACTCTCTTTATAGTCTTTATTTCTTTATTGTATAACAATTTTTAACCACGCTTTTTTTAAACATTTTTCTTAAATTTCATTAAAGTAAAAAAAATGAATAAGGCTATTTTTGTTTGGTACCTGAAATTTAAATTAAATCATGGAATTGAAATTGGAGACTTTAATTCAATTCTTCTGTTTAATAACATAGAAATATATGGATTTGAAATTGGTAGTGAAAAAAATGAATTAAATCGGAGAACTCAATTCCATCCAATTCAATTTCATAGAATTTGAATTTCGATTCAATTACGTCAATTCCGGGTAACAAATGGACCCTAAGACTTTGTTTGGTACACGAAATTCAAACTATGGAATTAGAATTGGGATAATAATTCCAATTCTATTATTTGGTAGCACAAAAATATGAGCATTTGGAATTGGGAGGACAAAACAAGAATTAGAATTAGAGAGTTCAATTCCATCCAAATCAATTTCAAAAAATTTCAACTCTCAATTTAATTCCAACTATGTGTACTAAATTAAATGGACCCTAAGGCTCCGTTTGGTACACGAAATTCAAATTGTGAAATTGGAATTTAGGACTTCAAATCCAATTATGGTATTTGGTAGGTCAAAAATTATGTGGATTTAGAATTAATAATGTAAAAAATGAATTGGAATTAGTAGAATTCAATTCTGTGGAATTGAATCCAATAGAATTTCAATTCTAATTCAATTCCAATTCCATTATACCAAACGGACCCTAAGCTTTTTTTGAGGGGACGGAGGAAGTATATTTTTGTTGAAAAAAAGAATTAATTTTTAGCAAAAATGAGCTTAGCTCGATTTAAAAAATGTGCATTTTAAATCATTAAAAGACACACATACGGAGTGTAATGGATTTTGGATAGAATAATAATTTGCAATGATAGAGAGAAATGAGAGAATGTGTGTGTGTGTGGCCAGTGTAAGATAGGGCTTGTTTGGCAGAAACCAGCGGTACAGGACGTACAAAAAATATAAAGACAAGTAAATACATACTCTCTTTATTAACTCTACTTTTCTAGTTTTTTGTTTTTTTTCACCACCCAAAATTTTGACCATTAATATCACTATTTATATATAAATGGATACGGTGTTTTATTTGATATTTTAAAACGAAATTTCGAAATGAATTTATTGATAGTAAACCTATACTACAATTCAATGTGTTTTTTCTATAATTTATGGTCAAATTTCAAAAAAGAAATCTCTCTAAATATGAGTAAAAAGTATAAAAGTACCAAAATAGAAGTTCTTATTGTTTTAAAACCAAAATGAGATTATAATGGCAGTAGGCGAAAGAGTACGCGTCGACGGTGTGTTGGAAAAGTGATGACAGTCTAATATATGAGTGTGATCAGTCAATTGTCAATGATCCGTGACGGCACTCTGGTGGCCGCAAAAAGCCGCCGGCGGCAAATGCTAGCGTGGCGCTACTAGTGTAGCAGTTACAATGTGACAATGTGGTGCGTGTTAAAAGATATATGCCTCCTATTTTATATTTTCATATAGTTTTTTACTCACGTCTAGGGAGTTCTCCCGTTTTAAAATGTTGGCCAAAAAAATCAAAAAAAAAAATGAAAATAGTACTCGTAGTATGTATTATATGAAAGGGACAATTTACCTGCCGGGCCGATGCCTTTCTGTAAGTGACCATATGTGCAAGGGCAGGGATGATGTAGACGGTGAAGCTAACAAGGAGTGCCCCCACAGCTGAGTTTATAGGGCCAAAGAAGGGGAAAATTATGGCCAGAAACCATATTGGCACCACCACGGGTAACCTAGCAACTGCCCTTAAACACATGCTCCTTGTGTCGTGCACCCCTATCACTTTCTCCCACACAAAGTACAATGGCGTGCATGCAAACCCAAATGTTATAAACTGCATATATGTCACATTCAAAAAAAAAAAATATTACTTTTTTGTCTGAGGAATAAAAAGTAAAGAGAATGTCTCTTTTTTCGGGACGGGTGCGGGACCTGGTGGATGAGCATGAGAATGACGGCCGCATCGCGGAAGCCGTTGCGCGGGAGGAGAGCAAAGGCGTTGGAGTAGCCCAAAAGCTGGTCGCCGAAGGCCCAGTACATGGCCGTGGCCGATGGGAGGGTTAGGGTGAAGACGTAGAGCGTCGCGAATAGGTAGATGTACTTGAACTTTTGCGGTTTCCACATCGCATGCATTATTTCCCTGCATGAACATGCGTGATTGTGTCTGAGTCTTGTTGATCTAGAGGTCGTGCGTTCAAGTCTCACTGTACTCACTTGGAAAGAAAAACTAATGATCACGTCCCGTGCCAAACAAAACTCGTTTTTGACCTTCTATGTGTACCTACGAGTCAATTCGGTCCTTGTATATACATATTGTCTTAATCGTGTTATTGAAATTCTAAGTTAGCACGCTACTAGACACAACCACGTATCTAGACAACTTTTGTGTCAATTAATATGCCAACTCGAGTTTTAATAATATCATTGAAGAGAAATTTCATTAGATTAGACTAACTTGATTTGATTCTTTAGCTACAAGGGTTAATTTGACCCAATATATGACTCGCATTTAGAGGGACCAAAATGAGTATTAGTTAACTAAAATGCAATTTGTTTTTTACTTGGGTTAGCATTAGCATATATAACTTGGTACTTCTTTTCAAAAGGTGGAACTGTGGAAGATACACATTTGATCTCAAATCATGCATGTTATTAGTCAATATCAATTAGGGTACTTAGGTCAACTAATTGTGGAAGGAAGGTTGACTAAATGAGGACTGGCAGACATTCCAATGCAAATACATCATGGGAAATAGCTGGGAAAATCACATAAATCCATAAAATCAAGATTTTAGCATCCAATAATTTTGAAATAATATTACTGTTTGGCATTATATATTTATTCATTTACCCCAATAATTAATGACTGTTCCAAACTTGAAACCATGCAGTTAATTTATGTCCCTTTTTAGTCAGCAAAGTCTTTGATTTAGCATGGACAAGCAATCATTAGAAACAGCTCATTTCTCACAGCAAAAAAAATATTTTTAAAACAGGGGAAAAAAATTTAACAGTGGGAGTAATAATTAATTTACTCACACAGTCACCGCATGCCCGCCGAAAGTGTAGAGTATATTAGTGGCACCAGTAAAATAAAGCACCAATTTTTTAGGGCCACCATGTGTAACGCCTTCAACCTATACATAAAGTGGAACATAAAAAAAATTATTATCTCAGTAAAGTAACAATAATAGTCTTCCCATTTATTTGTACTCTATTAGGCGTGCATTTGGAAAAAGGAAAATCAGATACCGAATCGAAATTAATCGAATCGAGCTATTAATGAACAAAAGTTAATCGTGGAATGTCGAACCGTTACTGTTAGATTCTGGTTTCAATTTTCACTCCGAAAAAACAAATCAAGCACGCGTTTTAAAATTCACTCCCTTCAAGTACCGTAAAGTTTTACCTCGACGAATATGAACGGTAAAAAAGATTAGGAATATATATAACCCTCATAATATTAACATAAAGAATTGATGTTTTGCATATGCACAGGGGGTAATTTAATGTTGTTAATTCAATTTCATAAATCGAGTACTTTATTTTAAAAAAATATTTTTAAATGTTTTTAACTTTTTGATTCATTTAAAAAAAACTTAAACAAATCCAATAAACCAAAAAATGAACCTTTAAAACCTCACCGATCAACCAACATACAGAGGATTTTTATTTTTGTAAAGTTTTTTTGCAGATTATTTTTGTAAAGTTGATTTAGATGAGATCTAATAAAGAGTATATTTTTGATCCCGAATTCCAATGTCATTTTATGACCTGGGCACCTACGATTTTCTGATTGTAAACTTGATGGTTCCTACCCCTAACTCCTCCCACCACAGCAACCCTCTATCCCTCACCCCATCCTATTTCGCCGATTGGCTATAGCAAGAGGGACACGGAGGATAGAAAATCATTAATTTTACCAATGAAGCAATGTAGATGCATGGGTCATAGAGTAATCTGGAATCCAAGGTCAAAAGATTGCCGCTGTTATTAGATTTATTTCACAAAATATTTTAAAATATTATTTTATCTAAATAATAAATATATATCATATAACTTTTTTTAATTATATATTAAAAGTTAATCTTTGTTAATTGCAAAAAGTTATACTTTACTAACATAATCCGGCATATACAATACGGAGTACTCCCTCCGTCCCATAGTATTTGTCCACTTTCATTTTTACACACCATCCAATACACTTCTTTAATCCATTTTATCTTGTAATTTGTATATTAAAAAATTATAGAAATTATATATTAATAATCTATATGTTAAGACATATCAAACAAGATCACACATGACTATATTTAGGCTTACACATTGAGAGAATTTGATGAGTCAAAGCGCTTAGATGAACAGTTCTAGAAGTCAAAAGTGGACGAATATAGCGGGACGGAGGGAGTAATATTTTAAATTTTATTTTTTGTAGATCGCAATAACTTATTCTATGTGCATGCACTTAAAAAAAGTATTTTTGGGCGGTAGGTGAAGGGCATTTACGGTATGAGATTAGATCCAGAGGTGGCCATTCCGGTATGGTTTGACCGAACCAGAGCGAATTAATCTGAACCAAATCCGATCCTCAGGTACTGCACGTAGTTTTAGTTTATTAACCTTCCGTTTTTTTTTCTTTTCAAAATTATACTCTATGATTTTGAAATGAGATGTGACGATATTCTCTTGGTAAAATTGATTATTCTTACTTTTTGACCTCTCCCTTCTAAACTTTCGTCTCTTACCTTCCACCCCAGCCCCCTGTCGATAACCGATTTGAGCAGATCGAGAGAGGTAAGGGTGGAGTGCGGGAACAGAGGTTTTGAGATTTATGAGATAGGAACTATACGTTTTACCGCGTAGGTCTCACGGGACATAAAGTAACCTTGGTTTCAAAGATACGAACAGGAAATCCAAACTTGTAAATGTTGGTCACTCATAACCTTTTTCTGTCAACAAAACTCTGACACTACGTCAATGAATCAATTTAATAATTTGGTAATAGTAGTCCAGAAAATTAATTCTTAATCTTCCGCAAACCAAATCAAAATCGTTTGAACCTAACATTATTATCGATGAACAAAATGCGCATCGTGATGAACAAAAAATGCACTACCCTCATTTCTCGCGATACGAGTCAATATATGTATGTGTGTGTGTGTGAGAGAGAGAGAGAGTGAGAGAGGGGTAGTATATATATATATATATGGGTAGCAGTACCTGGCCATGAAGAAGGGCACCAATGGTCAAATACCAAGCAGTGTATGTTGTCATGCCCAATCCAAGAAAGGACCATATCCTATAGTTGTGGAATGATGGGATAAACACAGTCGTTGCACAACACGCCCCAAATATGTATGTCCATGTTCTCTTGTCCAACCGGTCATTTATGTAGTATATATTGCTGCATTGTTTATTTATTTTTTTTGAATAATAATTCCCACAATTACATCTTTATTACTGTAAATAAATACACTCTTCTGTATATATATATATAAATTGGAGGGGTACTAACTATACCTTGCGCAGGCAATGAGCTGAATGACAGAACCAAATAGAAGGAAGGTACAATTGAATGCCAGTCCAACTGCTTTCCATTTTGGCCCCAACAATCCATCCAACACTTCAAACCACTGCACAAAAACACAAATCTTGTCAATACATTTTGATATGAACATTTCTCTATGTTTGGATTTAACTATCATTAGAGGTTAGTGATTGGCTTTTTTCAAAACGCCCCTAAAATTTATGGCTAAAGGGACAGTTAAATAATGCTAAAACTAATGCGAATATTACTGCTTCATTTGAAAATGTAAAGAAAAGAAATCAGAACATCACTACACATCAAGGGTGAAGATCTCGAGTCAACAACTAAATGTCTAAATTTGATCCCAAGGACATTATTGAGAGAGAAAAAATGCTACTTTGACACCGGAAATGACACCAAGACATGAGACACAATGATGTAACTTTTTGGTGACGATATAAAAAAATTGCTACTTTGACACCAAAATCTTGGAAAGTGTTAGTTTGCCACCAAAAGCACGAAAAAACTCCAATCATGGTGGGAAGGACAAACAAAGACAATAATTGCCTATAATTGCCTATGCAAGAGTGGCGGGTCTGTGTTTGCCTTTGGTGTCAAAAAACGGGTCCCCTGTCATTGCCGGGTGTCACGACCCTTGTTTGGAGGTTAATAATTGAGAAGAAAACCTGGATAACATGGTTCTTGAAGCTGACATTCTCCTTCTCTTTTCTAGTTCTGTACTCCACATAGAGCACAGAGATCAGGTAAGCAGTCCAGCTTCCAAGAACACCATAAAAGATCTGCAGAATGATTCCAGAGAGCATCCCCATTTGGGAAAACGAATATGGCAAAGTTAAAAGAACCTGTGCTACCTGAAAGAAAGAAAGAAAAAAAGCCAACCCATAAATTTCAAGAGATCTTTCTTTCACTCTATTTCCTTTTTTGAGAAAAGAGAAATTAATCAAGAAAGAAAGAAATTAATTATCAGTTCTTGCCTGATTTGAAGCACAGCTGAACCAAGCATCATACACAGATCCTCCATGCCAGAGAAAGTCCTTGAAACTGTGCTTCTGTTCATGCTGAATCACTCCCCCTTCATCTTCTACCTGTTGAGTTTCGTTGATGATGGAAGGCGCTACTATGGCTTCTTCACTCTGCCTGTGTGGCTCCATTTCTCAATCAATCGCCTGAAACGCCACAGAAAGTCAACAACGGAGCAAATTAAGCAAAACCATCCACCATTTCTGGCCCAAACAAGATAAAGACTCCACCTTTTTGCCCTGAAAGCTCAAGAAAAGCCCAAATCTCTGGTTCTTGATGTAGAAAAACCATAAATCAGAACCAAAATTCTTTAAATTCTGGAGTTAATAGAACTGGGGATGGTTTCATCATCATACCTTAATGCCAGAGGAATAAATAGCCGTTACGAAGTGTTGAGAGGATGGTTGGTGTCCTCGGGACTGACTGAAACTATAAATGCAGGCCAGAAAAAAGGAAGAGCTTGTTTGTGAAATCTTTTACAAACTGGCAAAAGATGACTGCAGAAATGTGGGCTTTTATGTGAATGGGAAAAAGATGAGATTTTAAGCAGCAAGAATTAAAGAAGGCCTGTATTGAGTGCACTATGTGCCCGGCCTCAAGAGAAATAGACTGAGGAATTTATGATCTACGGAGTATGAACGAAGAGAGAGAGATAGAGAGAGAGGAAGAGAGTTGGGGAGATAAATATAGTACTAGTCCGGTAATGGTGTGATGGACCCCATCGAGCGGAAAACACTTTTTGAAATGGTACTCTTCTACTTCCAATCGGTGTTGTAGGTGGGTCTACCCGGAGCTCAAACCCGAAAGATCCAACCATTTTTAAATGGATTTGGATAGAGGGCATCAGAGTATTTACAATGATCTAAAATCCACCCACCCAAGCTTCTAGTATATCAGCATTCTACTTATTTTTTACCATGTCTCAATGGACGGCCGGTGTGTTTTTGCATTGAAAGTGAAGCCTGGCTCTGCGCTGGAAGGGCACGCGCGCCGCGGCGGAAATCGCAACTCCCCTCCTGCAATGGGATTGCAGCGTGGTGCCCCTTCGATCTTTGAGCGGCGAATGGCTCTGGAGGATGGATGCAAATGCCCTTAGATAAAAAGAAAAAAAATGTTTTTATAGAGTAGATTTGATTTTGCAATGTATGTTGGGCTAATTCTAATTTCCAATTGTCCAAAATCTCACGTCAAAATTTTTAAATCAGGTAAATTTGTACTCTTTTGTCTCTCGAGTTCCTACATAGCATGTTCACTTTTATACACAACAAGTCATTACACACTGATTGGTTCGCACCTTATACTGATTGGTTAACGTTTAATTAATGTCATTGGTTCCTCTTGTATAGAGCATCATGTTCACAATTGCCTAAGTAGATTCGTCTTAGGTTCTTAGTGGACTTATGCTTCCACACTAACACACAAGAAATGAGGCAACCGCAATTAATCCGATCAAAGAGCTAATATAGGGGCTGGAGGTGCATTAATGGAACCCCCTTTAATTTTTTCTTCATATAGGGTTAATAGATGAGCTGTAAGGAGCTGTTAAGTTAGATTTAATGGTTGGGTATCACCAGTCAAGGATTCATCGTAGTGCCTTTTGGGCTTACTAGTGCTCTTGCTTCCTATCAACAATGAATGAATGAGGTCTTCAAACCCTTACTGAGAATTTTAGTATTGGTATTTTTGATGATGCTAATTTACAAAAAGTGCAAGGCAGACCATTCAATCCATTTGAAATATATCATCAATGGGTCCATGGCGGTCGCTGTCACGGTCCCCAGCTGAGCTCGCAGGCCGAGCCGAGCCCACAGGGCGTTCCGAGCTCAAGGGCCGAGCAGAGAAGATTCCACGTGGCTGATGGGGCCCGGATGACGTCTGTTGGAGTCGTCCTCCATCAATAGTACTAAAACATAAGTCATTTCCCAATATAGAACTTAAACTACTTCTGATCTGATCTTATCTTATTTCAATAAGATTAGGTTATAATTAAATAGTACAAATAAATTTGAAGAAAACATGGCCCAAGCCTTAAGCTCGCGAGTATCCGACCATCCATGGGAGGCGGGCGGTCAATTTGAGGCTTCAAATGTTAGGCCCGTAATGCGAAACGGGCTTGATTTGAGCTAAAAGAAAATACAAGGATTTTCTAAAATATGGCCTCTCCCCATTAGGTATAGGCGTATAGATAGATACCACCTGCAAGCAAGCAACTGGTAATAAGTATTGCCCAAATTGAAATAGGCCGGGTGGTGACATTATGATTGGAAATGGAATTGATAAGAAGGAGACATGGGAAATGAATTATTCAACACCCATTGATTATGAGCTCCAAACTGGTTACAAATACTCCGTATGAGTTTATATAAGTAGTAGTAGTATTAATAATAATCAATTGAATGTAGATTAGGGAATTGAAATGGGGGTTTAATCAATCATGGCGCATATGGGTTGGGGAGAACTCACATCATCATAAGCATGCAAGATTTATAGTGATGAGTTCAACTTTAATTTGTACCATTAGTGTTAAGTTTTTATTGGATTTTGTTTCCCACTCTCACCAAACCGATCATATCATCAATGGGTCCATCCAATGATGTACATCATGAATTGGCATGCAAGCTAAGGTGTTTTATTCTTATTATTGACTTTTACAAGATTTATGTGGAGTTTTTTTTTACATGTGATTGGTTAAAAAAATGTTGTGACGAGTAGATTAATAATGTAATTAATAGAGCAAAAATTAGTATGATTAAAAGTGATTTTTAAAAGAAATTGAGATTTTTTAATGTCGAATGAAAAGTGAGAAGGAAAATTTTTAGAGACATAAGTGTTAGTATGCCTTGAGTCTGTATTGTACGCTATGTTGTTGTATTGGGTCTAACACCTCTTGTGTACTTATTTATATAGAAATAGGATACAAATCTCTGCAACCTGAATGAAAATACTTCATCCGTCTTTATAAAATGAGTGTTTAAATATGAATGACTTTATTTCAAAAATAAATAAATATGAATGACCTAATATGTAAAAGATTAATTTCATGATGGAAAGCCACTCTCATCAAAGAGTCAAACATGAAAAGATGAAGAAGTTGGGCGACTTGATTAAAGCTTTTATCATACGGACCGGCCGGGTCTTCTTGGGTGGGTCTTTTTAATATAAAGGGCAGACCACTTTATCTTTCCAAAACTCATTTGCACCGATTACTTTCTCTTTTCCTAAACTCGTTTTTTTAGGATTTTCTTTTATATGTCACGCTTATGTAAACCTAGTGTTGGCAAACCTCGGGTCTGTTTCGATTTATTGATTTTTTTTTGTTAAAATGTGACACTTTTTAACTATGAACTATGAAAAAAAATATTTAGTTAATAATGTAGATTAAGTAAGATTTGAGTTTATTTTAAAGGAAAAATTACTCAAAATAATCCCAACTTTACCCGGTCTTTCAAAAATAATCCTACCTTTCACTGTGATGCATAATAATCCCAACTTTACTGAAATTTGCCAATTTTGGGTCGCCGTTAAATTTCTAACGGAGGGTTAACGGAAATGCCCGTTTTAGGCAACAAAATAAAAGTTGGGATTATTTTTGATGAATTTTTGTTTTCTAATTTTTTTTGAAATTTTTATTTAAATTTTTTGAATTACTTTCAACCTCCATTTCTTTTTCTTTTTTAAAGATTATTCTTACCTTTGAAAAAATAGATATAAAAATAATGAAAATGAGAAAAATAACTAAAACCATACAAAATTAATCAAATAAATAATGTAATCAATAGAAATTAAACAGAAACTGGTAAGAAATAAAATAAATATATACGGAGTGGTGGGTTTTAACATTTTACACACTATACGGAGTCTTAATGTACTACTTATTTTTTTAAAATCACAAGCCGTCCAGTAAAGTTAGAATTATTGTAGATAATTTTTTCTAAAAAATAAGAAGTGATATGTTAATACTTTGTATAATGCGTAAAATATTAAAACCCACCCGTATATTTTTATTTTACTTTTACCAATTTCAAGTTAGTTTCCATTGATTACCTTATTTATTTTATTATTTTTGTACCATTTTAGTTACATTTCTCATTTTTTTCATTTTTTATATCTATTATTTTGTATTTTTTAAACTAAGGCTAATCTTTAAAAAAGAAGAAAGAAATGATGATGGAGGTAGAAAGTAATTTTAAAAATTTAAATGAAAAATTTAAAAAAATAAAAAAAATGAAAATTCATCAAAAATAATCCCAACTTTTATTTTGTTGCCTAAAACAGGCATTTCCGTTAACCCTCCGTTAGAAACTTAACGGCAACCCAAAACTGGCAAATTTCAGTAAAGTTGGGATTATTATGCATCACAATGAAAGGTGGGATTATTTTTGAAAGACCGGATAAAGTTGGGATTATTTTAGGTAATTTTTCCTATTTTAAACATTATAGTTTTGAAGTATTAAATTTGTATAATATTTAATTACTTTAAATTATATTTAGTTCGTAGTCAAAAGATGTTACGATTTGTTCAAAAAAAATCAAACTGTAACAATTTTTTATGAATGGAGTGAGTAAGTTCATCATTCATTGCCATCATGTTCAAGTTAATACAACTAATTATAAACATTTATTTTAGGATGAGAAGAGTAATCTTACACCAATTATAAAATTGATTGATCCTATCTCATAACTCCCGCTAAACCCCATCTAACTCGCCTTGTCTCCAACGCACGTTCATACCCCCACCAATTTCATTACACCAAATTTGGGTCAAAATTTTGTTCCGGAAGTCAACAAAATTTGGTGTAATGGAATTGGCGATGGTGCGGGGATGCGTTGAAGACGGGGCGGGCTGGGGGATTTATCAAAGGGTTAGAGGTACAAATAATCAATTTTACAATTGAAACACCGTAGATGCTCTAATTGAATTGCTGTAATGATCTTACATTAATAAATAAACTAGTGTAAGATTACCCTGTTCTTTTAGAATAATCAAACTTATGCCACCAGCTACATATAACATAAAACTTTTCTCCTTTCTTTTTTTATCCGTCCCATAAAACATTTCTCATTTCTATTAAAAAGTCACTTTTACCTCTTACTTTTTCATACTCTAACTATCACATCATACCTTTTACCCATCACATCAAAGGACATTTTTGGAAATTCAATACCAAAATACACTCCCCTTAAACCCTCCTAAAAAGCAAAAGTCCCATGTTTCATGGGACGGAGGGAGTACTACAAAATATCAAAATAAAAATATTAAAGTTGATATAATATATTGTTTTTGAATTTTTATTATTATTTAGATATATTTTCTCCATCTCTTATAGATATTTCTATTATGTATTATAAGGTTTGATCGACTTTATTTTTAATTCAATTCATTTGATTGGAAGTATAAAATTTAAAAAGAAAATGTACATAGTAATTAAAAAACTGTTTGAAAAGTTATATAAACAAGATGTGACAGGACTATATTATTTTAGAATTGTTAAATATGAAAATAGGAAGAGTTTGTTAGAAATGTTAAATATGAAAATAGGAGGAAAAAACTCCGTAAATAGTACAAAATATTTATGAACAATTTTTTGTAATAGTAAGATAACGATACAATATCGTTCTAACTCGTTTAAAAAAATACAAGTTTAAACACGAAAAAAGAGTGATGACA